GGGCGAGTAATCGTACTTGCCCAAATGCTCCTATGTCTAGCCCGATACCCAAACTTCCATTATCAGGAAGCCGGGTAGCAAGTCATTACACGCTGCCCGGCTTCCTGATCGGCCGGGAAGCCGGGCAGCGGCCAGGTGACGAGGAAGAGTGGAGCTGGCTTCCCAGCCACTCAGGAAGCCGGGCAATGACTTGCCACCAAGCTTCCTGATTGGTTGGGAAGATGGTAAATGAGGAAGCCAGACAGCCAGTCATCACCTGGCTTCCTGATTGGCCAGAAAGCCGGTTCCATGCTTCCTCGTCTCCTGCTGAAGAAGAAGCATGGAGACGGCTTCCCTGCTAATGGGGAAGCCAGGTGGCGAGTTATTACACGCCGCCTGGCTTCCTTAATCGGACTTCCGTATCTGTATCCGGTATCGGCGAGTACCAAAAAAAGCAGTTTCGTGCATCCCTAGTTTATACCCATAAGGCCCAACTCCTGTTCTGGTATTTACCTTGCGCCCCACACTTCACTACCTTTGCCCGGAATACATCTAGGGTCTTGAAGAATTAACGCAATTTTCCTTAATTGGCCCAGATATCTGTTTATTTTACCGCCGGTGCTTTGCCCTGACAGTTCTTCATACCCTCTGCTCTTTCTTCTCTCTCTGCCTTTTGACTTTACGGTGCTCCTTGTGCCTTTTGGCTACTCCTTCTTTGGTTTTTAATTCTACTTTTTCCTTCATCTTTCACCTTTAATTTTTACCTTTTTTTGGTCTTCTTTTCCCACTCACAATATGTCTCTCAAAGTGATATCCCTAAATGTAACCAACCGAATAAGAGAGCAAAGGCCTTTTAGACATTTTAAAACCATTCATGCTGATGTTTGTCTCCCAGGAGACACATTTTTCTCAATCCTCCTCTCCTCTCCTTTTGCTTTTGCATTCTACTTACCCAGTTTTTTTCAGCCTCAGCACAGACTAAGCATAGAGGAGTCTTGATAGCTATTCTCTATTCTGTCACCTTCATTTGTGTGTATTTAAGTAATTTTCAGGCCTAAAATGTGGAATAAAACATGGGTACAAAAAAATGAAAAAAAGGCCTCAGTCATGAAGGGGTTAAGTATCCAGAGGGCATGTATTTGATTCTGGTGGGCTCGATCCATGATTATTTGATTAGTATATTTTCGTATTATGCCCCCAATTCTGGTCAATTGGGTTTTTCTCACACTTACTCCAAGTTGTTGACTTCATGCAAAGGGGACTTTGTTATTATGTGGGGATTCCGATTTTTTTTTTTTCTTTGCTGTATCCTCATGCGGATCGTCATGATGCCCTACACCCGGCAACCCCTTTGGTGTAACCTCTGCTAAACATTTCCACTCACTTATAACACAATATAATTTGGTGGATTTATGGAGGGACCTCCACTAGTACAGCGCTGCATGACGGAATAAATGTCAGTCAAAGTACCGCAGCGCTGAATACTGAAAAATGGCCTGGATGGGAAGGGGGTTTAACACCGCGGATGTCAACTGGTTAAAGAACAATACACTTTCTACTCTAACACTCATGATGTTTTCTCACAAATTAACCACATTCTTCTACATTCCATCACTCTCCCGCAGGTGACCTCGGCTGCAATCTCCCCATTCACTGGCCTGACCTTGACATGGTAATTAACTTTGGCCTTTCCCTTCCGCCGTAGGGAAGTGTTTACTTGGTCATTGAGAGATTCCTTGCTCACTGATCCTGAAACTCGTGCTGCTGTTCAAGCTACCTTAAGATGAACTCTTCTTCTGTACACTTCCCAGTAACTGTTAGGGAAGCCCATCAGGCTCGATAGATGGCCCAATAACATCTGACTAACACCAGCTATGTTGTTGGCATTAGGTATTTGTAAGGCATTTGATTCCCTGCTGTGGGATTACTTGCGGTATACCCTTACTAGATAGGGATTTGGCTCTAACTTTTTACTTTTGGATTGATGCTTTGTATTGCACCCCAACAGCATATGTACAATATCAGGGAGTCTGCTCAAGTATCTTTGCCATTGCTAGGGGCACTAGACAAGGGTTCACACAGTGCTTTCTTTTGCACTGGCTACAGAGCCCCTTGCCCAAGCAACATGACAACACAAAGATATATTGAGGGTTTGGAGGTGGCAGGATACCATCGCAAAAGCCGTTTCACTGAACCCTTAATTTCCCTTCCAAATTTAGACCAAGTAATAGGCTTTCGGAGATCTCACTGGGTTGTATGTCAATATGGGGAAGTCCAAGGCACTCTGTTTGTCTCCCCCCTTCATTATGCCAATCCCTAAAACAATCCTTCCCTGGGTGGAGGGTTCTTTTCTTCACATCTGGTGGACTTGCCCTAAGGTTAATAGATTCTGATGTAGAGTCTACCAATTGTTTACTGTTACGGGGTAAGACGTTTCGTGAAGACTCCCTGGAAACCTTGCTACATAAACTACAGGTATGCACTGTCTGCCAATTTAGGCTGATAACTTTTATTCTTATGGAAGCCAAACATGTCATAGCAGGCCTTCGCGATCCCCCATTATACCTTTTGCTGAAGTCAAACAGAGGGTATTGCGAGTTATCTTTTTTTAAAAACTAACAGCAGTTCAACAGGATTCTGTTCTATTTCAGAAATTGTGGGAGCCTTGGATTGAGTCATACCTCCCTCCTTCCTTCCACAAGGATTCCTTGACGATCTGAAGTCTCCTTCATTTGCCTGTTAGATCTTGGTTTCTTAGATTCTCCTTGCCATTGTTGGTCACATTCCTTCTCCCTCTCCCCACCCACCCCCACTCCCCTTTTTCTTCTGCTCTCTTTCCTACTCTTTCATTTGCACTTTCTGTTTTTCCTCTATCATTTTCTGGGGTTTGAGGCCTTGAGGGTTTGTTTTTTTGGGCCCTCTTGTTTACTTGTACTTTATCCGACTTTTTTTTTTTTTTTATCTTCATTCACATGATGTCTAAATTGAATAACCCTATATTGTCGCTTGGTTTATATTTTATTGTGCAGCTGTGATATTGTAGTTCCACACTTCATGTTGTCTACTGTTTGCATTTGTATATTCTTAATAAAAATTCATTAAAAGAAAACATTTTTTTTTACAATAACCCTTTTGCTGAAAGCAAGGACCTCGTAGAATAAAAGTGGCAGCTGCAAATTTTTGCATTGCATGATACTAGCGCAACTCTTTTTAACAAACCCAAACATTTAGTAAAAAATGCATTTAACCTAATTTTTGTGCCCAATAACACAAGATAATATCCATTTTTAAAAATATAAACGATGAGGTTATGACGCGTCAATAGATACCCAACATGCTCAAGTTAAATGTTGCGTGCATCCATAAAAAAGGCAACAAAATACCCCCAATTGCCCATAGGCAGTGCTTTAAAAACCCATACAGGTAATCAGTTTAGAGATAACCATGAATATTAGCCCTAGAATTATTGCTCTCATGTGGCGATACTTAACATGTGTAGTGCAATCGTTGTTTTCGTAGATAGGTGCACCTGACGCATGTTTACATTAACATGCGTGCACAAATGTTTAAATGTATTTTATTCTTATTTTTTAAACCATTTTTTTCCTTAATTGCTATCACATAGGGGAGCTTACAAGCCTTCTCACAAAATGTGAAAAAATTCACTTACTGACACCATCCCACCAACTTTCCTGGTCCCCGCTGCAGATACCCATGTGATTCCCCCTGCTGGCTAGCCCCACAATATGTAATGATCATAATGCTTGCAAATGATGAACGTTCATTGATCAGTCACATGATCATGCTGACCAATGAGAAGTGCTTCTGAGTTGGGGAGCAGACCCTGGAAATAATAAGTGCTTCTCATTGGTTAGCAGGGACATCACACAGGCATTTGCAGTGGAGCCAGGAGAGGTGGCAGGGTGGTATTGGTAAGTTGATTTTCTCACATTTTGTTAGAAAGTGAACTTACAATTTAGCTTTATGTTCTATGGGTCTTCAGCAGAGGATTCATATATTTTTTATGTCACATGAGGTCATTAGTTCAACTGTTTACAAAATGTAAATTTTCAGTAAAGAATACACTTATATTAGTAGGCTCAAATACAATTAAAATCTCAATTTTCTGTAAATTATTAAAGATAAAGACGGAGTAGATTAACTAGATAGCAAATATTTCAAGACGTAAAATTGCATGCGGCTGCAAAATGACAACAAATTAAAATACCCCAAATTCTCCAAAGAAGCGGCGTTTACACTCTAAGGGGGAGGGGCAGCAATGAACCCAATTAGATTGGTGCATTGCACAGTGCTATACACTTAAATACCAAAAGCTTCCTGCGAGGAAGAGAGATAATCGTATCAATATGCTGCTTTAAATTCAATATCTAATCACAGGGTAAGATGGGTCCTATCCAAGCTGCATGCTCTTGAGGACTTTTCTTTAACCACCTATGCCTTACCAATGTATTGTAAAAAAAAAAAAAAAAAACCATTGGGGAGGTGGATGTGTATTTCTGTAATTCATTTTCTAGTTGATGCTTCAGATAATAAGCTTGGACAAGCAGTGTGCCCATGCATAGCTGTGATCTGAGCTGTTATTGGAGAGCTCAGATCGCATCTACAATGTACAGAGCTAGTCAGAGTGGCTTTGCAGCTTGCGATCACCAAGATAAGTAAGGTGTATTAATATTTTGAAAATATTTCTATTGTGGAGTCATCACACCTCAGTTGTCCCTATTGATCTTGAGGTTTCATTAACACTTGCCACTTAGGTTTTTATGGAGAAATTTATCAGCAAAATCTGTCTATTCTCTCTGGCAACTCAGCTTACCCTGCTGCCCTCTCCCAAAGTACCTGCACTTTGTTGACAAAGAAGGCTGCCAAGTCATTGCTTGGAGGAAGGAGTAGGGTTAGCTGGGCTGCCTGGGACAACCACTTGAATGTCTTCAGTGCTTCTCCTGTGAACATAAGGTTTTAAATACTTTTTTTGTATAACTTTTGTACTTTTTTAATTTTAGATTCACATTGACATCCCACGGACAAATCCTCTAATTCCACTTTTCCAGCAGCCTTCAGTTCAAGAGGTAAGCATTCCATTCCCATGTATATTTTTTAATTATGTTGTATATTTTATGACATGTACAGCAACGCCCTCTTCAGTATGTGTCATGTTTTATTTGCAACCAAATGTACTGATTTACTGAGGAAAAGAAACTGCTGTGAACCTTATCAGAGGTTTACTCAACATTAAACTAACGGTTTTAGTTTACAATATTGTGATTTGAGTATTTAGGGTGTGCGTATAACCATAGTTGATTTTTTTGCAAATTAAAATGTATCTAAATCAAAGAACTAAAATGTTGTACATTTCAGCTTTTTGTATTTATATGTGGTCGTTAGTTCTCTTTTTTTCAGATTTTTTTATTTTCAACTGGTGCTCCTTTTCAGTACCAACTTGTGTCTACTAACTTGTGCGTGTGCATCTGCCCTGATGCAGTGTTTCTAACCCGATGCTGTGCGTCTGTCCGGACGATGTGCATTTGTATATTTGCCCCAACATTGTGCTTCTGTGCGCCTGCCTCGATGCTGTGCTTTTGTATATCTGCCCTGGCCCTGTGCTTGTATGCATCTGCCCCGATGCTGTGTGCATATGCTCCGACGAGGTGGTTGTGTGTGTCTGCCCACAAACGTTTACTGATTGTGGAGCTGAAGGAGATTTGCTATAGAATACAGTTGTGTTTGCAAGTTTGTTTTTCTTTAAAGTTTGTGAAAAATATTACACAATGGAAGGCATTTATATCTCTCAGTTTCAACTAGGCAAATCTGAGACTAAGAGGAGAAGGAGGCAGATCAAAGGTGGTTATTACCCTGGGAACCAGAGTGGAGGTCCTGGAGCTGCGAGCTCTGCGGGGTGTAGTGCCGCATTGGGCTGATTGGTATGCAGAGGGACTACTCCAATTGTTGTGGGCGGATCTGTTTGCACACCTCCAGCACCCCTGCCTAGCCTGTCTGGGTCTTCTCAGGGGGTTTCCTGGACCTTGGGTCCTTTCATCCCAATGGGTGCTGTGATTTCTGTGCTGGAGGGGTTAGTTATATGACTTGAACAGACTTCTCCTCCCGTGGTCAGGGTAAGAGTCCTCTGAGGAGGGTGGCGTTGTATCGGCTGCAGACGCTGCGGTGTCTGGCAGATGGGTTTGCAAAACAAATTCTTTCTGATTTACAAGGTAGGGTTTCTCTCCCAATCCCTGTTTTTTTCCTTCCAATCTTTGTCTAGCTCCGTCGCGCCTTTGCGACTTTCAGGTGGCAATTCTGGACCTACTACGCTTGGGGATGGTGGGACCTACTACGCTTGGGGTCCCACCGTCAGAAAGATTCTGGTGCTTCAACTCAAATCTCTTTACTGCTCACAAAAAGGACAGTGTAAGCTGGATTCTGCATCTCAAGGGGCGCTCAATTCTTTGCCAGGTTCAAGAGTGCATTCGCTAGGTGGTGGTCTTCACCAGGGGGATTTTCTTGGGTCGATCAATATCTAGGATGCATCCTTACATGTCCCGATTTTGCTCCGCTCACCATTGCTTTCTGTGGTTTGCGGTGGGAGAGGAGCATTACCAGTTTGTGGCCTTTCCATTTGGCCTGGCGTTGGCCCCTCGGGTTTTCACCAAGGTTTTGGCACTGTATACATAACCCACCCAGGACCATGGACTATATAAAATATTCGTCCATAATGTTATCCAACAATTTTTTTTTCTTCACAAATGTAGATATTCCAAAAATGTTAAGGATATACACTGAGTGGGCAGATTATTATGACCACCCCATCAGTACTTCGTTGGGCCACCTTTTGCCTTCAATACTGAGGCGATTCTTCTTGGCATTGACTCCACGAGATGTTGGAAAGGTGATGCAAGGAATCTGACACCATGCCTGATGAATAGCACTGTCTATTTCTGTGAGATTTGATGGTTGTGGAACCAGCTGCCTGATGGCTCTTTCAACTTCGTCCCACAAATGCTCAATTGGATTGAGATCTGGTGATTGTGGCGGCCACCTAAGCGAGGTAAAGTCTCCCTTATGTTCTTGAAACCACTCCTGCACAATACGAGCACCGTGGCATGGCGCATTGTCTTGTTGGAAGAAGCCATCTCCATTGGGCTACGCCATCAACATGATAGGATGAACTTCGTCAGCAACGATACTTTGGTATGTTGTGCTATTCAGACGTTGTTCCACACGAATTAAAGGGCCCAAATCATGCCAGGAAAACATGCCCCAAATCATAACACTGCCCCCACCAGCTTGAAGGGTTGTCCTCATGCATGTGGGGTGCATGCTTTCATGCTGTTTCCGCCAAATTCTCACTCTGCCATCTGCATGATGCAACTGGAAACGTGATTCATCGGACCACATGACTTTTTTTTTCCAATGTTCGACTGTCCAATCCTTGTGTTCCTGTGCGAATTGGAGATGTTTATCTTGTTAACTGCAGACCGCAAAGCTGTTCGAACAGGCCTTCGGCTTCCATATCCCATATGATGCAGTGTATGGTGAACAGTGCGTTCAGAGATCATTTGAGAGTAATTTGATGTACTGTTGCCCTTCTGTTGTCTTGTACCAGTCTTGCCACTCTCCGTTCTGCCCTAACATTGACTAGTCGCTGACGGCCACAATTCTTATGTTCAGACCCAGATTTTCAGCTGACAGTCCAGTCTTTAAACACTTTAACAACAGCTGCTCTTGAACATTTAACTAACTCTGCTGTTTTGCTGATACTCCCTCCATGGCTCAGAGCGCCAACAATCATCCCACGTTCAAAGGCTGTTAAATCGCGTTGTTTACCCATATCTTCAGAAAAAAATCACTTCTACTGTCGTGGTAAACAACCTGCTTCCCTATTTATAATGGTCTGGCCCTCTAGCAACTTCAGCGCAAAATTATAGCTAATTTGCCTACAAACGTCAGGTGGTCATAATAATCTGGCCACTCAGTGTAGTTCAGCAGGGGTCCTAATTCTAAATGCGTTTCATGATCATGCTTCCTCAGGAGAAGCAGGGTTTCTTTTTTGTTTTTTTTACTGAAATTGAGTTTGTGAAAGAATAAGAAAAACATGCAAACAAAAAAATATTTTTTAAAAATCCTAAATACAAAACCTTAAATACTTAATACATACTTGGTATATGTGAGTGGGCTTTCTCGACCCCCAGGGGGTATGTGTAAAGAGATATGCCTGGGGGGGGGGCTGATGGGACAAGCTGACACAGTAAATCTGAAATAAAGCCAATGTGGGATATTAATCCATTGCTCGTTAAAAAGTTAGCAAACCGCACACAAAGTGGATAGACCTGGTTTACAGAAGCTGCTGTTCAAAGGATTGCAAGGGCTAGTTCGCAAAGATAGTATTTAAGAAGCAATCAATGGAGAGAGAGAGATTGTGTGTAAAATCCTTCTCTGTGAGGTCTCATAAGGCTAAAACAAATACTCCTCAATAATACAGATGCTTCCTGACTTCCCTGTGAATTGGCCAGCAAATAAAGATAATGGGTATTACCATTAAAGAATTCATAATGAAAGGATATTGTTTTTACTGATAAGTGTCCCAGGCATAGGTCCTGATGGTCTGCATATGACCCTCATTAGACCATCTTTTTATACCCTGTCCCACCCAAGCCGTCCCATAGGTGGTCGATGGGCAAACTTGTCCACTTTTAAGATGGAAGAATAGGTTGCGTATCAAACCTACCAAAGCAGAACAAAGTTGAACCCATATCCAAGCACCACCAGTTCACTGTTTCAAAACATCATAGTAATGATCCGGAACTGAGTTCTGTTTTGGCAGACCTAATCGTGACAGATCGTTGTTAATCTGATGTAAACAGGCACGTCCGCTTACATCCAACTCCCCATAGGCCTAACCTGGTTCCAGTAAATTCAGTTATTTCCTCTACTGCAAGATGGAGTTAAAAGCTGGATGGACACAGATGTCACAACAGTGACATCCATTCCTGAACTTCTCCGATCAGCAGAGGATCTCCTGCACAGGAAACGCCCATGTGAAAGAGTCCTAACTGATGTATGTCCCGCTGAAAGTGAACAACTTTATAAAAATCTAGATTCAAAAGTAACCGCTTTTATATAAAATATTAGCAACTTGAGCAGTATTGGTCTCTAACCTTGTGTTTGTGGAATTAATTTGGTTTTATTTGGAATGATAACACCATTATAATACAGGCTTTTCTATTTAAACTATATTCTAAAATCATTGTAAAGTAGTATTAAACTCTCAAACTTTTTTTCAATTTATCCCGATCAAACAAATATTCATTGCCCAGCAATTTTATTTTTTGCCCAAGCACTTAGTCATCATGTTTCAGAACAGCTGGTTCTGGCTCTCTTGCTTCCCTGAACTTCCTGTTCAGTCCAAGATCACAAGGAAGAGCGCAGTCTGCAGCAGCTGTCCATCTACTAGTTTGAAAAAGGGAGGAGTGGGCACCAGAGGATTGGCTCTCTTTGCTGTGCCTGTGTGTTTGTGGAGACACACACAGCTTACTAACACACATGAGGGTGACTCCACAGGACCCTGAAAGAGAAAGGAGCCACCCTAAAACAGGATATAAGGGCCAGTGCTCAGGAGACCAGCTTATTCTACAGAAACTAAAATGTTTAGTCATCAAGAAGCAGCATCCATTGTAAGTAATGTAGTCAGCATTTGAAATGGCTTAAAAACCTTTTGACTTTAAAGAGGATCATTACCCATATCTTTACAAATAACATCATAGGCATCTTTTAGAAATGTTTATTAATGACAATCTATAAACACATGCCTTTAGATAAATGCCGGCTTTTTATTCTATGCATACCTTTATTTTTTTCCCTCCCCATTCATCTCGCAATGGTCGTCTTTACTTAAAGCAGGTTACTATATCTTCTTTACTTCCTGGAACTCTGACAGATGTGACTAGAACATATGACCGTGCACATCATCTCAGGGGAGGAAGATGCCTTTCCCTGAGATTTCATGAGATATCAGATGAGATTTTCCAGCAATGCACTGTTGATGTAACCTTCCCAGGATGCAACGCTTAGTCACGATTACATCACTTGGGCCCAAGAGGACCAGGAAGTGGATAAAACTGTATTTTTAAGTAAACGAAAAATGTTTGACTAATAAATGTAAGATTTCATATCAGCATGCAGAGCTGCATGCTCATGTGATTTTTAGTGAAAGGGGGTAAAGGGTCCACTTTAATATCATTTTAATGTCATTTTTGGTAATGAATATGAATTTCCATGAATCTTCCAGGGCAATACCAAATATCCTAGTCTTTAGTTTGTCAAATTTTTCTGCAGGTGTTTTTTAAAAATCTGATGTGAGTGGGCTTTTTTTACCTAATTGCACCTTGGAGTACCTGTTAGGTGAAATTTGCCATCTCTTATGTGCTGCTGTCCTGGAATATTCTGGGAAACTAGGTTAACATTCACCATTACTTTTTTCACTGTTTGATAGTATCGTCTCAAATCATAAGGGTCTTCATGTCTAGAATAAAATATGCCTGCTTTTCTCATGCAGATCTTTGAGAGAATCTTGTTTATCTGGGCAATCCGCCACCCAGCAAGTGGATATGTACAGGGAATCAATGATCTGGTTACACCATTCTTTGTGGTTTTTCTGTCGGAACACGTAGGTGAGGCAATTTTATAGGATTTTATTAGTTATCGTTTGTAGGTTTTCTCTCCTCACAAATATTTGATTTGAGTTTTGGACATAAAGAAACACAATTTGAAGAAAGAACACCAGTAGAGGTTATACAAAAATTCTAAAAATAAAATGAGTGCCATCAATAGAACATTCATTTCTTTTGGAAGCATACAAAGATTCAGTTTGAAACCAAAAGCGCTATGTAATGATTCATAAAAGTTGTTCCAAAGGTTAAACTTCAAGTAGTCTAGAAATCTGCAGACCTGAGTAGGAGAAGGTCATTAACTGAGGACAACATCATGTTGGGTTGTGCCATCCTAATAACCCCCAAATAAAAAAAGAAAACCTGAATTACCCACATACAAGGCAGACAAAGTGAAAACACATTCAACTAGATACCGTACGAATGCCAGGAAAAAGGAAAGTAGAAAGAACAAAGGAAAGAGAAGAAAGAGCAAGAGAATAAGAAAAAGGGAAGAAAAAAGGAGGGAAGAGTCCCAACTGTATTTCTCCTGGTTATGTATCTCCCTCAGCTCTTGCATCTTGACATCCCATTAAATGTATGAGTCCACGCAATATCTATCTAGACTGAAGGATTCAAATAATGTAAGTAGTCATCTGTAGTATTAATGTATCCAATATGACAATATAATAGTATATTTAGATATTTTATTTTGTGAAATATGAATAGGCTCCTCCATTTCCTGAGCTCTGTTCAGCCTTTGAACCCAGTCCGTCGCAGGCAGGGCCCTGGTAGATCTCCAATGTACTGGGACACACGTTCGTGCAGCACTTATCATATGCATCACTAAAAGGATCGAGTATAAATGGGCATGACGGAGAGGTGTGATGTAAAATAAACTGGACTGGAGTATAGTCGATCACGAAAGTGGAGACGGCTATGGTGATATGGTGCACGTCCCTCCAAAATGGTTGCAGAGTACTATGCATACAGTATGTCCCACCATATATGAAGCATTGTCACTTTCTCCTGCGAACAATGCCAACAGGAATCACTTATGTTAGGCAATATCTTATGTAATGTCAGGACCAGCTGTGGACGCACACTGTCGGAACAAATAGTGACGAGTTGTTTCACCTATTGCAGCCGCCGCTCCTATAAGGCAAGCACGCCTACCAGTACTTGGATGCCCTCAGGACTTAAACTATATGTTCTGATCAGGTGAAGCCACAGGCTGGCCAGAGGTGCTAAACCAAAGTACGGCCAGAAGTAGAAAGACACTACCAGAGAGTAATCGGGGACGAGCTGGAGTCAAAGGCTGGAAATGGTAATCTGGGCACAAGCTGAGGTCAGGGCTGGCAAGAAGCAAAGCGTAATCCAGGAACAGGCCAAGGTCAGAACCAAAGACTAACCGGATTTGCAGGGACAGCACACCGCTTGTATAGCAAGAACTATCACAAGCACTGAGGAACAGGCTGATGATGCTTAAATAGGGCACCACCAGCAACAAGGCCAATTCCAGAGCAGGAGGTGTGTGGTTTGATTTAATTAAGGCACAGCTGACTAGACTAGTGCTGCAGCCAGCGAGACACAGAATGGTTAACCCACGCCATTCAGGGCTGCAGCCAGCAATACAGGCTGCCTGAACTACACAGGCTGTCTGACATGTAAGATAACTGGTATCTTGTAACAGCAAGTTCGCAATTTATATCCCGTTTTCTGCACCTGTGCAATCTAGTATTGATTATTTCCCACTCCTCTACTAAATTGAGCCACCAGTTCTTGTTCCCAAGTCCACAAGTTGGTAAAGAGGGCACTGCCCATGAGGGGTTACAATCCAAAGGGAAAGGGGCAAGTGATACAAGAGGTGGTAGCTGCGTGGGGATGCATTGTTTCAGAAAGTTATAGTTCAGTGGGTAGGTTTAGGCGGGATAGGCTGTCCTCAAGAGGTGAGTCTTTAGGGATTGCCTAAAGGCAGACAGAGTATGAGATAGACTGACAGGTTAGGGTAAGGAGTTCCAAAGGATGGGAGAGACTCTAGAGAAGCTCCCGGAAGCAGGCATGGGGGCACAAAACAGACAAACAAGAAAGTGATCAGGGGCAGGTTTATTCTGTCACAGCACTATTTTAGTGCAGCTGAGGGGGAATACAGATTTAAAGCTGCCTATGTATAATACATCTGAGATATTTCTCACTGCTCCTGTTTAGCTCTGACTTACTGTGTGACAAAATTGATAAATGCTCCCCACTTTTTTCAGTTAAATTAGCAAGTATTACCCATCAGGTTAATAATTATTGTTTGAGTCATGTTATCCCCAGTGACAGCTGTCCTCATTTCTTGTCTTGTTTTTAGAGGTACAGAATGTGATATGAAATCTCCCCAATGGGTCACAGACAGCTATAAAACTCAACTGTATTTTCTAGGGATGCAAGGAAATTTCCGCAGCTGAAACATATCGGCCGAAAATGGCACTTTTGGCAAAATGCCGAAAGTACCATCTTTTGGCCGAAATAGTGATGCACCCTGGGTTCTCTCCTCCCCACTGCGCTCTGCTCTTTGTCCACTCTGGCACAGCGCAGCATCCAGCGTGGAGGAGAGAAACTGTCACAGGAGGCCAAGCGGTGCAGGGGAGGAGAGCGATGTGAGCGGCCGGCGTCTCTCTTCCCGCACCGCTCAGCTTCCTGTGACAGATTAGGAGAGCGGTGTTTGAGCAGAGACAGCGGTCAGTGCTGTCACAGGAGTCCGAGCTCTCCTCCCGCACCTCCCCCGCTCAGCCTCCTGTGACAGCGAGTCAGGATGGAGAGCTGGTACAAGCAGTCAGTGATCGCTTAGTGTTTGTTAATAATTGAGGACATAGTATGTTTACTGTGTGCCCAGTTATGAATGAATGGGAAGTGATCTACATCACTTCCTGTTCATGATTGTGGATATAGTAAACATACTATCTCGGCAAGTTATGAATGAACAGGAACACTCGGTATAGAGGCTGTCTGTTCATTTATAACAGGGGCTGCAGAAAGAGATTGATGACTCTGTGTTCTCAATCTCTTTTTCTATTTTAAAAGGGAAAATATGTCCCCGAAGCCCCCTACAGTAAAGTAAAAAAATAAAATATTTAATAAAAATACATAAAATATTAGAAAAAATTACATACATTTTCTTTCGGTTTAGAAAATTTCATTTCGGTGCACCTCCTAGTATTTTCCCTTTCCAGGATCTCCCATAAAAAGAGAAAAAACATTTTGTCTGGGGTTGGGCTTGAAGGTGTGCTAAAAAGATTGCATGCTAAAATAACAGCAATATTGAAAGGTTACTTTAGCATGCACTTTGGGTTCTTTAGGTGCTTTTGATGAATCAAAGCTACTAAATCCACAATAGTTTTTTTTTTCTGTGTTATATGATGTCATTATCTAATTAAATAAATTGAATATTTATTCCATCGGCGTGTGTATGTGTTTTATATAGAGTCTATTTTATAAAAAAATTTGCATAGCTATTCATCCAGCGAAACTACATATTTATTTATTAGAGGTATTTATGTAGCGCCAACAATTTACGCAGCACTTTACATAGTGCACATTCACATCCGTCCCTGCCCTCAAGGAGTCTACAATCTAAGATCCCTATCTTACATGCATAAATACAAGGGTGAATATAGACAGGAGCCAACCTAGCCGCATGCCCTTGGACTGTGGGAGGAAACTGGAGTATCCGGAGGAAACCCACGCAGTGCATGCAAACTCCAGAGACCCCCAGTGCTGCCAGGTAGAAGCGCCAACCACTAGGCCATTGTGCTGCCCACATTTACTGCATATACATTAACCAGACTGTTGTGAGAATGGGGCAGACTCGAATGTACTTGGGGTATTTTCTCTTCTGGTCGAATGTTCTTTATCCCTCACTGGAAGTTTTTTTTATAATGCCAGTTTCAGTATTCACATTAATAGCAAGCTCTTTTGCTGTCAGGGTTGTAACCGGTCTAATGTTCTTTATCCTTTACTATAAGTCATTATAGCATACAGTGTTCTTCCTTAAAATTAAAATACCCAACGCTATTAAATTTACATTTACTTGGCGATTTAATGATATGTTGTTACAAGATCCCGTAAAGCATGCTGCAAAGGAGACTGCAGTCACTAACTAATTAGATCACATAAATGATAATACTTTGGCCCAAATCATATGGGAGATGCTAAAAATGTATATTAAGGGGAATATTGATTTGAGCACGGAACCCGTCTTAAGAAGTCCAGGGCAGCAACAATTTCATTTGTTGTTGGAGGAAATACAAAAACCCGAGATAATGAGGTACTCTACCATCACTTGCATAAAGTGCAGTACATCCATTTAATTTAAGGAACTTACCCTTCGCAGTCTCTACAAAAATGGGAATAGATGCAGCAAACAATTAGCACGGTTGATGGGAGACAAGCAATCCCGAACATATATATCTTAACCGCAGTGTCCAAGAGTGGGTCTGGTCAATAGATCTAAATAGCATTTTTTCATCAATACTATTTCGAGCTTTACAACTTGCCTAACCCTGAACACAGTATGAGGATCTAAATGGAATCAATTGGTCTTGTATATAGACTCAACAGGACTTTTCAAGAGATAAGGAGATAGTGGAAAGGCTTCAGGCTCTGTACACGGATCAGGAAATACAGGACATGCACTATATTGCCAAAGTATTGGGACACCCCTCCAAATCATTGGATTCAGGTGTATAAAATCAAGCATCTAGGCATGCAGACTGCTTCTACAAACATTTGTGAAAGAATGGGTCGCTCTCAGGAGCTCAGTGAATTCAAGCATGATACCGTGATAGGCAAGTAGATCTGTGAAATTTTCTTGCTACTAAATATTCCACGGTCAACTGTTGGTGGTATTATAACAAAGTGGAAGCAACTGGGAACAACAGCAACTCAGCCACAAAGTGGTAGGCCATGTAAACTGACAGAGCGGGATCAGCACATGCTGAAGCGCACAGTGCGCAGAAGTCGCTTACTGTCTACAGAGTCAATAGCTACAGACCTCCAAACTTCGTGTGGCCTTCAGATTGGCATAAAAGCATCGGATGCAGTGGTGTAAAGCACGCCGCCGCTGGACTCGAGAAGTGGAGACATGTTCTCTGGAGTGACGAATCGCGCTTCTCTGTCTGGCAATCCAATGGACGTGTCTGGGTTTGGCAGTTGCCAGGAGAACGTTACTTGCCTGACTACATTGAGCCAAGTGTAAAGTTTGGTGGAGGGGGGATTATGGTTTGGGGTTGTTTTTCAGGGTCGGGCTTGGTCCCTTCGTTCCAGTGAAGGGAACTCTTAAGGCATCAACATACCAAGACATTTTGAACAATTTCATGCTCCCAACATTTGTGGGAACAGTTTGGGGATGGCCCCTTCCTGTTTCAACATGATCATGCACCAGTGCACAAAGCAAGGTCCATAAAGACATGGATGAGCGATTTTGGGGTGGAGGAACGTGACTGGCCTGCTCAGAGTCCTGACCTCAACCCAATAGAACACTTTTGAGATGAATTAGAGCGGAGACTGCGAGCCAGGCCTTCTCGTCCAACATCAGTACCTGACCTCACAAATGCGCTTCTGGAAGAATGGTCAAGCATTATCATAGACACACTCCTAAACCTTGTTGACAGCCTTCCCAGACAAGTTGAAGCTGTTATAGCTGCAAAGGGTGAGCCAACTCAATAATGAACACTACGGACTAAGACTGGTCGTAGTTTTTATATTGAACGGTTGCATTTTCTCATTTCTTAGAAGACGATGTAGAAAACTTTGACGTGAACAGCCTTTCTTCTGATATACTAAGGAACATTGAGGCGGACAGCTTTTGGTCAATCGGCAAACTGCTAGATGGTATTCAGGTAATACAACTTTCAGGTTATTCTACAAGCTCTCCTACATTAAATGTCATGTTTCCTGTTTGTTTTTTATGTGTTCCCTCTGGAAAGGTTTTTGTCTCTTGAGAAACATTTGCTTTGTGCTGCTGACACTGTTGGGGATAATTCAGTAAAGCCTTAATGGCACTTTTCTGGTGTCATGGACCTTTTTAAATGGTCCTGCGCCAAATTCAAAAAGTTCTGTCACCAGTTTCGGGAGCTTTACCAACACTTAGAACAGATTGAGGGAGTTCTTTAATACCGGCACTTTGAGAATCTGTTGCTATGGCTGCGAGAGATGCAGAAAGAGAAGCCAGTGCTCAGCATGGGGCATATATGTGCTGGAATCTGTCATGAATCTGATAGCTTCCTATTTGTTGGTTGCTAGGTACTCGGGCTGCTGGAGTCCTAGCAACCACATTCTTGTCTGACTCGGCTGCCGGCTGCGAGATTCCCCAGTCAGCAGCTGAATGTAAACAAAGGGGCCAGGAATGCCGGCTGTTATTACCCAAATATGGCCACATTTGGTTAATGAAAAAGAAAATGGCACTGCGCTTCACAAACTCAAAAAATATATATTCCTAAACTGTGAGAAAAAATTTATAAATTGTGAAATTGTCACAAAGTGATAAAAAAATGTTGTGTTATCCACAACACCTGTTTTGCACAATGCCTGTGCTAAAAATAGTTCAGAAAAAACTATTAGTCTAATGGTCTAGACACTATAAGCCATAATAAACATAGAAGAAAAAAAAATTGACCAATAAAACATGTACTTGTGCTAGTACATCTCATAGAATGTGTACATATAGAAAATCCTGTATTAAATCTCACAAGTGATGTACAACTCCCACTTAATCTACATAGCCATATGTGAAGTCCATTACTTCTTGAGAGATATATATATATATATCTCTCAGCAATTATATATATATATATACACAAAGCCTCTCCTTTTTGTTTTTGATCCGACTATAAATTGGGGTATATTCTTCCCAACTCTGGCTTATCTTTCCAACACCGTCTAATACTATTCCTTCATCTTCCACCTTCTCTTGTACTCAGAGAGAGAACAAATAATTCTCATAGTGTAGTATGTCAGAATAAATGTATTTAAAATGATTAAAATGCACTTACAATTAAAATAAGGCAATTGCACATGGATTGTGTCCACTGGAGCTCCTGTCTCTATGATTGTAATGCTCGCATGGATCCGCCCACCTGATGCATTTCGTCACTATTGACTTCCTCTGAGGCGACGGTCTGCATTTTCTTTTTTCCTATTTTGGGTGTACTCGCCTATTAAGCACAGCTGCTTTTAGAGTGTTATTTGATTCCTAGCGCAGTTTTTTTTCTAGCTCACAGTTGGTTATTGTTGTCAGCCAGCATTCCCCTTGTTTACATTTAATTGTCTTACGTGACTGAGTGGGCGGAGCCTGATGGGGAATTTTAAAAGCTAAGTTCCCCAGCAGGTCTGCTCTGCTGCAGATTTACATCAGACATTAGGTGAGTTGCATAGCCAATAGCAGGCTGGCAGCCACCCACTGCCTGCTGTCAATATGCAGCAGAGTAGACCTGATGGGGAACTCAGTTCTCAGAATTCCCCTATTGCAAAACGCAAAGCCCTGATGACCAGGAAAGTTTGCATCCCAAATATCTATCAAGGTCAGGAAATCATCTTGGTGGACAGACGACCATTGAACAACTCTATTCCGTACAAACATTTTGATGGGGTCAGGGGGTGCTTATCTGCATCTGGGTACCCTCTTTCATAAAGTGGGCACACAGATGCCGCCCCCCTTATGAATGAGTAAGGGGTAGTTGTTACTAGGGATATCCTGATACCATTTTTTCAAGACCAAGTACTTTCTCTCAGGTACTTGCAGATACCAATTACCGATACTTTTTCCGAAAGGGACGTGTGACATTTTTTCTAATCCATAGAGACTAATGATTTTAGGGCAGTTTCTTTATAATTATGAAGAACTGTAACTCAATCCATGATTAATCGGCAATGGAGAATGGTAACCAGCAATAGTGGGCTACAGATCCCATCAATCCATAATTATACAGCAACATATGGCAACCGGGTATAGAGGACTAAACATCTCAGCAATCCATAATTATTCAGCAATGGAGAATGGCAACCAGCAATCATGAATTGCCGAGATTTCTCCAAAGGGCTGTGGGCGGGTGGCAGGCTCTCTAGGGCTCTGCATGCGGCTTCTGGGCTCTCTAGGGCTGAACGGATGGGATCCGGGCTTATGCCAGGCACCAGGCCTGTCCTGGTAAGTGTGGGGCTGTCCTGTGCTGTGCCAGGAAGGAGGAGTCAATGTGCAGCCAGACGGGCACCATCAATGACAACTGCCTGAGGTCTCTAAAACGCTCAGGACCCCAGGCAGCCGAACATTTTGAAAAATGTAAAGGGCCGGTATCGGCTTTTAGTCTCTCCATGGTAGCTGAAAAAACTGGCCACCGGGACATTGAGAGCTATTGCCAGTGGAGGACACTTAGAGAGTGGGTCGAAAGCAAGTACATGGGAAACTGTTCCAAGAGGACAGCGGGTTGCTGTGGACTGAAGAATTTTAGATATTGTTCTGGATTATTAATGCTCCATCAAAGCTTAATGTAATCCTAATGCATTTCAAACAATATTCTTTTCTAAGGAGTACCTTGTTATCATGACTGCAACAGTATAAACTGCAATTTCTCTTGTATTTTTATCTCAACTTTGTATATTCTGTGAATTTGTATGGTGTTTTTTTTTTATCTACTTGTAACAACAAATATATATATGTTGCAACAACTAGATATTTCTTGTCTTATGTTTTTTGTTTTTAAGGATAACTACACATTTGCTCAGCCTGGAATTCAAAAAAATGTAAAGGCATTGGAAGAACTTGTGGGCAGAATTGACAGTAAGGAGATTTTTTTAAAATATGTAATCTGATTTCCTTTTAAACTACCCTCGGTGTTTTACATTAAAGTCTATTTTATCAACATGTTTTTCAGCATTTCATGTATTCCACACATTGGGTTTGCTTCACTTCCAAAATAACCCGTAACATCACCCATATTTTACTTTGTGGAATAAGAAGCTGACTCCGGAACTAATGTCTCAATATTTGTGATTTTGTGTTATTAATACTAGATACACTTACCTTGCTGTGAATTCTTGTTGTGATTGATGCTTTAGGTGTTCACTAAGTAAGTCAACCTGAAAAAGCCTCACCATCACTTGTCCAGTACTGCTTCTATAGTACTGAACTAAACATGTTTTCGTAGTAAACATTTATAAACGCACACGCACACCAAGAAAAAAGTGACTAGATGAAAAAAGTAAAAACTTTAAATAATGCACATTTTTCTATTTTTCTCTCCAGACGGCATTTTTTTTCTGCTCGTGCGCGCCCCCGGGCAGAAAAAGCCAGTTCAATGCAAAGAGCCGTTACTGGCTGTTTCACATACACACGATCGGCGGCTCTATAGCCTACCTATCGCGTGTATGTGCTGGCTGCGGGAACCCCAACCCTCCCCTCCCCCTCCTGACCCCTCACCTTCAATCCCGGGATCCGCTGCCCCATCTGCGGCCCGGTACCGGCTCGGGAGGGCGTCAGGAGGTAAGGTGGGAGGGAGGTCGGCATCTTCAGAACTTACCAGTATTAAATGTAACAGTAGAACATACATTGCCATAGGCGTACCCACGGGGTATGCCTGGGTACACCCTAATCACCTCAAGCGCAACAACGAAATTGCAGGCGCCAGGGGCAGACTGACCTTTCGTGCCCTCGGGTAGTGTCCGTGGTCAGGAGAGGGCCTAAGTTTCCTTCACTCTCCCTCCGCCACTGTATGTCCCCGCATAATTTAGTTATTGAATTATATGCCCCTTATTGAATAGTGGAGGTGGTCAGGACCTGCAGAAATATTTTTATTTTTTTCTTTGGTACAAAAAGATGAAGGAACTCAATGAGACATTTGTTCTTTAAGGCTAGAAAGGCACAACATCTCTGCTTTAGACTTTTGTAATGATCTCTGTTGTCAACCTAAAGAGTTTCCCTTCTACACTAGGTGAGGTACATCATCATCTCCAGAAATATGAAGTTGAATATCTGCAGTTTGCTTTTCGTTGGATGAACAACTTGCTAATGAGGGAACTCCCTTTAAGATGCACTATACGGCTTTGGGACACTTATCAGGTATTCCATTTAATTATTTAAAAAACATGATCACATTTTTCAATGTCAATCAATTTATGTTGCGGCTGAACATGTGTGGTCAGCAGCAGGTGAGCTTTGGAGGAGCTAAGTGGCTTATCACCTGCCTCCAGCTGCTGGGATAGTGAAGGGGGATGCTGGCAGAGAGGCTCATTTTACACTGGTGAGTTTGGGAGGGGGGAGTGTGCTGCTTGAGTGGTGATAAAGATTGGTGAACTTTCAGAACTCCTAGCAGCTATTCTTGGTATGCCTGTCCTGTTACCGCTCTGCCATCACGCCCCTCATCCCCCACCTTGCTGGGGCAGTGGAGTAGGATGAAAGACATAGGGAGGAGTGCTTGACAGGAAATGGTCACCCCTGCCACCCCTCTCTGCTCTTGCTACTCTGCCATTAAACAGACAAAAATGTTAAATCATGAGGCTTACACCAGATGGCCAGTGACAGGATCAATAGACAAAGGCAGAGAAATACCCGTTTCCACTGCATGATTTACTTGATAGGGGAAATGCCTTAGAATCTGCCTTGTCAGCAATCGAGTTCTGGCCAGCGAGGGAGCGAAGCTGTGATAAATATTTTTCTGCCCTTGGCTAGTGGCTTGGGCCACTGAGCCTGGAGTTTGACAGCTCAGCTCTGTGCTCTCTTGGTTTCAGTGTCAGGAAAGGGGATCGAAGAACTGAAAACTCCAATCTCTTATAAACTCCCAATCTCCATCTTGAATGTAACTGGCAGCACTCTGGGGCTCACAGAGCAGCTTCTTGAGTGATGGGGCCAGGGGAAGCCAGAAGTGATCACTTTTGCTAAACATAGAAAAGCCAGATCCTCTGTGTGTGTCAGCCCATGGACTTCCATCAGGCCCCAGACACCATCCCTGGTTTTATTTTATGTCATCCAGCCCTATGTAATGCTAGGCTTTCACTCTTAAAGAGGAAAGTACCACACCAGGCTCACCAGTGTCGGGAAGAATACATTTCCAAATATGGAAATGTATTATATAATGTAAGTTTCGGTTAAACTGGGTGGGATTTGACAGCCCTGAACCCGATAGTGCTCAGAGCTGTGCTTATCCAGGTTCGTTGAACGGGAGTGCATTGATCCTTCCCATTTTTCATTCTGGTGTCCCCTGCAGTGTTCTAGGCCTCGCATATAGTAGGAACCAGGTAAAGCCTGGGACCTCAACAAGGGAGCAGTATTCTTGCAGGGTGGCCACCAAAAACACATGGACAATAATGCTTGGTAAAAATTTCAAGGGAGAACAATTGTGTGAGACACAAATATATAAATATACAGTGTGTATATATGTATGTATGTATGTGTGTATATATGTACACTGAGTGGCCAGATTATTATGACCACCTGACGTTTGTAGGCAAATTAGCTATAATTTCGCGCTGAAGTTGCTAGAGGGCCAGACCATTATAAATAGGGAAGCAAGTTGTTTACCACGACAGTAGAAGTGATTTTTTCTGAAGATATGGGTAAACAATGCGATTTAACAGCCTTTGAACGTGGGATGATTGTTGGCGCTCAAGCCATGGAGCGAGTATCGGCAAAACAGCAGAATTTGTTAAATGTTCAAGAGCAGCTGTTGTTAAAGTGTTTAAAATCTGGACTGTCAGCCGAAAATCTGGGTCTGAATGTGCGAATTGTGGCCGTCAGCGACTAGGGCAGAACGGAGAGTGGCAAGACTGGTACAAGACAACAGAAGGGCAACTGCGCAGTGTCAGATTCCTCGCATCACCTTTCAACATCTAGTGGAGTCACGAGGCGGCCCAACGAAGTCATCTCGTGGAGTCATCTCGTGGCCCAACGAAGTACTGATGGGGTGGTCATAATAATCTGGCCACTCAGTGTGTATATATATATATGTGTGTGTGTGTATTAGATTCGTCGGCTATTGATTGATTAGCCTGTTAGTGCTGCTGTGAGCTCCCTCACTCGCCGCTGGCCCGCCGACAATCGAGGGCCCACGATTTGAAAGTAAGTCAGGACCCCTTGAACTGTATCCCTCCACCCACAAACATCCGCTAGGGAACTACAAATACAAGCATGCCATCACTGTCCCTGTACAACCCCCCCCCCCACATACACACATATCACCCAAGGAACGGCAATTTCTGGTTGTTGTACAGGGGCAATGAGGGCATGCTGGGACATGTAGTTCCCTAGCTGATATGTTATGAAGCTGTATTATTTACTGTCCACCTGAAAGTACTACAATGCCATTATAGAACTAAGAAAAAACATTTAAGTTTATCTATGTTTTATTCTACGTTCTATAATGGCATTGTATTTTTATTTATTTTTTATAAACTTTTTAAAAAACTTTATATTTTTTGGTTTTTAATTCATTTTTTATTCAATATTTTTATTTTACTTTTAGGGGCTTCGGGGAAATATAGGGGGTCTAAACAGACCCCTGATATTTCCCTTTTTAAAATAGAAAAAGAGATTGAGAACACAAAGTCCTCAATCTCTTTCTGTGTCCCCTGTTATCAATGAACAGGAATCCTCTATACTGAGTGCTCCTGTTCATTGATAACATGAGGACAGAGTATGTTTACTATAACTACAACTATGAATGAACAGGAGTGTGTAACGATCACTTCCCATTCATTCATAATTGGGGATACAGTACACATACTCTGTCCTCAATTATCTACAAACACTCAGCGATCACTGATCAATGACTGCTTATACCTTGCTCTCCTCTCTTGGAGGCTGAGCGAGCAGAGCAGGGAGGAGAGCTCCGCCTCCTGTGACAGCACGACCTGTCTCCGCCCCCACACCGCTCTGCCGGACTTTGATAGGCGGCTGAGCGGTCTGGGAGGAGAGACACCGGCTGCTCACATCGCTCTCCTCCCACAGCACTCGGCCGGCTTTCACTTTAGCTCCTCCCCGCTGGGACACAGAGCAGCGCCCAGCGGGGAGGAAAGTAATCACAGATGCACCGATGTATCTGCAGGAAAATTACACTTTCGGCATTTAGCTAAAAGTGCTATTTTCGGCCAGCGCCCCCCCTCAACTGTCATACATACATACATACATACATACATACATACATACATACATACATACATACATACATACATACATACATACATACATACATACATACATACATACATACATACATACATACATAGATATATCTATATATAATTAATTACACACACACGCTGCTAATTCATCCTTCTTTTTTTTTTTTCCTGTTTTAGGCAGAGCCTGAAGGATTTTCCCATTTTCATCTTTATGTTTGTGCTGCATTTTTAATTAAATGGAGGAAAGAAATTCTTGATGAAGACGATTTTCAGGTATTGTTACACTTAAATATTATGTATATGAAAATCCAGATTAGAAGATCACATATTGTTTTCAGTCCTGCCCATTTTATAGGCTACTGTTGTCATAAGTTCAGGCTGAGCAATGCAAAAAATGCTACCACAACTCTTTGGAAAAGAAAAACCCTGTTGCATGATTGGCATGAATTCTGCCACCATGTCGCTTACACAACTGAGTTTGAGCTATAAGGGAACCCCACAGGAGGAATCAGGATAATCTGATTCTCCAGACATCAGACTTTTGCAATTCTTAATGCTAGCTGGGTAAACTTTTGTTTTGTTTTCTGCACAAAGATTTGTACTTAAATGTGTCCAGTTCTTTAGTCCAATTACCACTGGGAAACTCTGCACCCACATCATCTTTTTTTTCCCAAATAGTTTTAATTTGAAAAGAAATACAACTTTTCAATTTTACTAAGTTTTTTTTGCTTACTAACAATGGCAAACTAACCAATATTGTAAATATTGAGATAGGACAGAAAGCGAGAAATCCACCTGCTTGCAGAGGCATGTTAGACATTAGCTTAATCTCAGATCTTGACATGATCACAGGTGATATCCCCAGCAGGATGGAATGTACATGAGGAAATAACATGTATGAAAGGCAAATCATTCAGGGAAGATAATGCTTTCCCTGCCCTGGGGAGACAGTGCTATATATGTATAGAGTATAAATAAACTTTTATACTGCGGCTGCCTTTTGTTCTCCTCTTATTGGTGTATGTCACAGTGCTAATGCAATAGAGGATGGCAACCGGCTATAGAGGACTACAAATCTCAGAAATCCGTGATTGCTGGTTGCCATTCTCCATTGCTGAATAATTATGCATTGCTGAGATGTTTAGTCCTCTATAGCCGGTTCCCATTCTCTATTGCTGTGTAATCATGGATTGATGAGATCTGTAGTCCTCTATAGCCAGTTGCCATTCTCTATTGCTGTGTAATCGTGGATTGATGAGATCTGTAGTCCTGTATTGCTGGTTGCCATTCTCTATTGCTGTGTAATCATGGATTCAGTTACAGTTCTTCATAATTATAAAGAAACTGTCATAAAATCATTAGCCTGTTGTTTTTTTAGAAAAAATGTCACTTTAAAAAAAAAGTATCAGTAATTGGTATCAGCAAGTACCTGAGGAACAGTACTCGTACTTGGTTTTGAAAAAATGCTATCAGTGCATCCATAGTTATAACCAGCCATTATAATGCTATGTACTGCTTTGTGGCTAACTGAGTTGCCTCTAGCACAGGGATGAGGAACCTCCTGGCCCTCCCAGCTGTGGTGAAACTGCAAATCCCATGATGCATCTGTCTCCGGGAGTCATGGCTGTGAGAATCTTGCAATGCCTCATGGTATTTGTAATTTCACCACAGCTGGAGCGCCGTAGCTTCCCCACCCCTGCTCTAGCAGATGGGGGCTTGGCCACACCTAGGGGTTGCACCTTGTTTTTTGCCTAGTGTCCTTCTCCTGAAGGTGGTGCTATAACCTTATGGTCTCTGATTCAAGATGTCCACTGTGTCCTTGAGTAAACTTGGAGAAAAGGATTTTACAGTGAGTAAAAAAAATCCCAATATTTCTTCTCATTTCTGTTGCCAGCTCTACAGAGAAAACCAAATGTCATAGTAACTGATCTGTACTGTTATCTCAGTTGTCATATCTACTAATTGTTTGTGAAGGATGAAACATATTAATTAGTCTGACCCTAAATGTATTTCTCTTTATGAAATGAGAATAGCGTTAAAGTATACCTATCATGAAAGAAGATTGCTATGCTGACCTCTCCTGAAAATGCTAACTGCTTGGCTCTCACACTGACACGATAAGGCAGAACAAACTTTTACATACATGTCTCTCCGATTCGATTTACTGCATGCTTGTTCTGGGTCTGTGATTCTGAATTATTTGTCAGACAGACCGATAACTAGTTTACAATATATCAATAGGAACAAAGACAGCCTGCCCTATTTCTCTCATGACAGGTGTACTTTAAGGGCTGATTGATAGTAATACTGTTTAATGTAAACTTACCATAAAATGTATTTGTTTTTAGGGTCTACTGATGCTCCTCCAGAATTTGCCCACCATCCACTGGGGCAATGAGGAAATCGGCCTCTTACTTGCAGAAGCATACAGACTCAAATATATGTTTGCAGATGCTCCAAGTCATTATCGTCGGTGAAAACTGTGATTGCTTTGTACTCCAAAACATGTTGACCGAAGAAAGGAGTGTACTTTTTTGCTTCAGTGCCTCTTATTTAACTCATCACTCACTCATGTGGACTTTTCTAAGCATTTGTGTACAAGTGCATTTTGTCTCTTTTTGCCTGAAGACTAATGACTGAAATGATCTGATTTATTTGTATATTAGAAATATTTGTATGTATATGAATAGAAATTATATAATTAAGTTGTATTTGTTAAAATTTGAGTGTTTTCTTGTGCAAAATATATTCACTCCAGTAAAAAAAATTTGCTAAATACAGAATGATGTGTACTGTATCAAGTACAAACCGTGTACACTGTTTAAATTAAAGCTGATAGTTGTGGAATACCTGCCAGTATGTGGAGATGCATATATACCTGTGGAGGTGGGATTTGCTAGCTAAAGTTTTACCCCCTTGTTTAGACACTCTGCTCTGCACTTCATGTATTTTGGTGTAGAGCCTAGCTACAAATTGCAACCTAAAGCTTGCTAAGGTAGGTAATAGTTATACGATAATGACATGTTGAGAGCTCTAGAGAATAAATCTCATCAATGGAATTCTGTACATAAACAGCTGCTGTGTATCCCAGCCTTATGTTGTTTACCTGGTACTGAAATGCTGGTTCTGGTTAGGATCTTCTATTCCTGGTAACATGACTTGCCACTAGGGATGTAACATTTCCAGAAATTTTGAAGCCATGAGAAAAAAAAAAAATGTCCCTGTTATTTTTCGGAAAAATTGAAAGAAAACTCAGTGTGGAGTATTTCTACAAATGTGAAAGTCTTGTGTTACACTAGGAACATGAAATGCAGTGTATATAAAAGTATTATGCTTGAAATAAAAGTACAGTTTATTCAGGAAATAAACTAAACTTGCTTTTTAAAATTGTATTTTAGATTTGCAAATTGCAGCTTTGCCCTCAGTACAAGTTGCACTGTGGAAATGTTTCCAAACTCTAGATGATGGTCTCACCATTTTACTAAGAGGAGGAAAAAAACAATTTACTGAGCAGACTATAGGTAAACATTATACCGTGATGGTGTAGAACATTATTAGGAATCATTTAAAGCAGGGGCGCCCAAAATGTTTTGTCTGGAGATCTACTTTTCAAATGACGAGCTCAATGAGATCTACCAACGAAAAAACACCTGCATTCAGGGGCGGGAGGGGGCGTGGTGGTACATTGAAGTCAATGGCACTGCAGGCAGGTCCCTCGCCAACATTGCGATCGCCTGGAACCCAGGCACATTAGTGCCTGCTTTCCATTCCAGTGCGATCCGCAAAAATGCTGCAAGCACTATATTTGCAGATCACACTGGACCGGAATGCAGGCACTAATGTGCCTGCGTCCCGGGTGCGGGCGATCGCACTGTGGGTGGGGGGCATGGCTGCGGTGCCATTGACTTCAATACAACCCCACACCCCCTCCAGCCCCTGAACACAGGGAGTCGGCCAGCTTACATTCCAGTGCGTCATAGAGGCCCCGGCGTCCTGTCCTCCTGTGGTGCTCGTGTGGCTGACGTTGCACATGGGGAGAGGTGTCCTGCCCCTTTCCATCTGCGGCGTCTGACACATTCAGCCGCACGAGCACCGCTGTAACCAGCTCCTTTTGCGCCCGAGGGGAAAAAAAATACGCGCCCCCCCC